TGTTGCACCATCCGACAATGTCTTCTCCTTGGGTGTTGAGTTTTTCTTGTAAACGGTTGTGTTTAATGTTGCGTATGGGCTGCGGCAGCCATGCTTGTCATGCCCTTTCCCCCTCGGTCCCCTTGTGCCCATGTTTTATTGTAAAGACGTTGTTTGCACCGTCCGACATGCCTTCTCTTTGGGTGTTTTTTTTTCCTGTAAACGGTTGCGATTTTTTTTGCGTGGGCTGCGGCAGTAATGCTTGTCATGCCCCCCCCCCTTCCCCACGTTGTTAGTAAGGACGTCGTTGCACCCTGTTCCCCCGACCCTTTTATCCCGGTTGTTTCGCCGTGCGTGTGTGTAACCAGCATCGGTGCCCTATGTGCTGCAACGTACCGCTGAATCCTTCGGGGTGCCCCTTCTGTGCCCCCTTTTACTTTGATGCTGATTGAAAGATTGAAATTTCGTGTCACCGTTACACTGGTGGAAAATGGTTGTGGTTCGTTGTCAGGGATAGAATCCCTCTTGACGCCTTCTACAATTGCAGTTGAGAAGATGTTGTATATGTCCGCGACTTGGAAGGGAGAGACTGAATATCGCTTGTATTAGAAACGCAGAAGCAAGAGAAGAGAAGAAGAAGAGTGCTTCCGGAAAACAGAGAAGCAGGGGTCACAAACACAAGAACCCCAAAATGGTATGTCTACGTTCCTATCTGCGAATATATCCGTTACTGCGGTCGATCAATACCTGTCCGTATCCAAACACACGAACACCCTCCCTGGTTTTTCACGCAAGTGGCAAACCATCCGTGGGGCATGGTTACCCCTGATCAGACCTAGGGACTCTAAACAGTAACGGTGCAAGGGAAAACCCGGCCATCCGGATCAAAAACCCTCGCCTACCCTAAACATATATAACCGTCGCTATCACGGAGGATTCCAACGGCCACACTTCCAAGACAAGATCAAGGCAGGACAAATTGTGCCGGGCACGGGGATTACGCATCTCTCGGTAGCGCTACGGGCGCTTCTAGGCTCCAACCTCGAGTGACGTGCCGGTAAATCCTTCCTGCGTGACGTACCATGATCATAAAGTCCAGTGCTAAACAACAA